AGAAAAGATACACCTAGATGATAAAATTATTTTGAAATTCCTGGATTTTTTTTTAACATATTCCACTAAGTGTTCCAAACTTTCACCAAAACAACAATTTGTGTTCCCTCGTATAATTGATAGATGGAAACTTTTGTTTTTAATTTAAAAAGAGAGACTAAAAGGTCAACTAATTTAGCTAGAGATTGCTTAAAAGCTCATCAAAATCGGTCCACTAGAAAACAATATATAAAACTTTAAAGTGCATTAAAATTTTAAGGTGCCCTTTTTTCGTGCCTGTGAGTGTATTTGCAATTAAAAATCTTGTGCGGCGTTAAAAGAATTTCTGTATCTTTTGATCATCAGCAAGTTTTGGAGCTGTAACACCCCATGAAAGCATACCAACTGAATTGCAACAATGTGTTTCAAAATCGTAATCGTCCAAACGCCATTTCGGTTATACTCCTATCTGGTCGGAAATCGTTTTTTGAACGGTGGCTTCGAAAGTACTACCAGCAAAAGCATTTAGTACGCCGCCATCGGGACTGTTATTACTTTCTCATTACGATCGACTTGACGTAATTTATTTCTTGCCGAAATAAGAGGCGCTGGCCCCAGCAACTGGCCGCTCGATCATTGCGTTTCGACTTGGTATAGCGCTCGTTGTTGCGTTACACCATGCCTCTATGAAAAATAAAACAGACGAAATTTGATGCTAAGGGGGTCTTATTCGTGGATTCTGCTCAACGGCATAGAGATGTGAGTATACCACAGTGAATGATTCTGGAACCTTGAAACAACACATTTCAAATAAAGGCTTATATATATTACTCTGAGCGTGGGGTAGGTAGATAAAGATCTTGCTCCGCGTTCCTGAGTGGATAAGTGTGAGATGGCCTTTCTTGAGAAGCTGATACATGCTTACGTATTAGGCAAATGGATTCAAATATAAATAAGGAAGGAAGAGTCAATATTTTTAATTTTTTAAAAAAGTCCCGGCAATGAGTTCTGCTGTTCAGTCCCAGTGAATATCGAACAGCTCTCTTCTGGAACCGCATTTTCAGGCCGTAAAAGTCTTTTAATTTCCAGAATGCTCCTGAGGCGCTGCTAATCCTGTGCTGAATTTCAGAGTCGACATTGGCCTTTTCCGAATACAACATTCACACTATTATTATAAAGCAGTGAATATTTGATAATTTAGGTAACTTTTTGCCCTTGTATATATCCCGTACTTACAACAAATGCCCACTCACATATAAATTCTTTGTGAAGGCTCGCGAATAAGCTCCCAGCCCAAAACGCTGTTTTCTTTTCTTTTTTTAAAAAGTTGTCCTAAACTTTTAAGCTCTTAACGACCACTAGCGTTTGCAAGCTATGCAAGAAGAGCATTGCCCTCTGAAATAGCACCTTGTTTCAAATAACGCAATTAATACTTACTTTGGCCGCAGTGGCGTCACTTGTTTCGATTTCCAATTAAAATTTGCGATCAGAAATACAGACAAGATATGAAACAGAAGAATACTAAAATAATTATGTGTTTGCTTCGAAGATAATTATTAATGGGTTCGATATTTTTGGAGCACTTGTTCCAAATATTTCCATAATAATTATATGGCTTCGGATGAGCAACAATTAAAATGCAGTTGATACTCGATATTATCATTATTATTGATATACGGGGTGTTTTAAGCTGAGCGTGCATTAGAAGTTTCCAGAGAACTACAATATCTAGATTGGATATTTTTTGCACATTATTGAGATATATCTATTAAAAATATTCAATATGGTGACACTTACCTATACTGGTGGAAATACCTGAAGTTGACAGCTACTTTCTTATTTTAAATGGGTAGGTACCCCCATTGTTTATTATATACTTGAATTATTTGTAAAATTATATGAATTTTGGTATCAAACACGACTCTATGCATAGCATTAACCGTTTTTGAGAAAAGATGTATTTAAAATTTTTTGAGGAATTAAACTGCCTGTACAAAATGGAGGGGGGGGGGTGTATAGACTAACTTTCAACTTTATAGTCTAAGTGCCAGTGAAAGGCTACCTGTATGTATTTGACCAGGCCTAGGGTTTTCTACAGTGAAGCCCCTATACTTACTGTACATGACATCGGGACTCACTAAGCCCAACGTGACGGACGCGGCGGGCGCCAAGGTAAAAAAGGTGTCGATTTTTGGTAAATTTTAAATATATTTGACCACGTCTGCGGTTTTGCAATTTGAAAATATATTATTATTATTATCGAAAAACAACAATGGCAGACCATTATCACGCGTTTAACATTGCTGCAGACAGTTTTTAAAGTGGTGAAAAAAATATAAAATTTTGAAAGTAATTGGCCAGATCTGCCATTGATATATTTTATTTATTAGGGTCTTATTAATTTAAGGTTAATCACGGAAGATATCTTTATTGAGTACACACTTCAGCAGACAACAAAATCTGAACTGCTGTCCGATCAGATGTATGGTTATGAAGTTCCCTGTTTCACATCAATATGATTTACTCTCATATCTCTATCACTGTCTTTATAGAAGTTAATATTTAATTTTGTCAACAAATACTAAAACATACAAGGCTGATGATAAAAAAGTAAACATATTTTAAAAGAATTTCGAATATTTAGGTATAACGCATTCAGCAAATAATCATTAAAATATTTATTTTCTTTTTTTTATATATTTAAGACAAAATTTATTGTAATGTATTATAAGAAAAATGAATTAAAAACGTGAATCATGCACGCATTATAAAATAATTTGTTTTATAAATTTGAATTTGTATTCATCGTCATCGGAATCATGTTTTTCATGGTATAGTACTCGCCTTTACCGTCCATTGAATCGGAATCCGTAAAAATAAAATGTAAATTATGAAACAACAGTAATTTGTAAATTGATCCGAACATAGTCGATAAAGAATTGGTTATGAATGAATTTACCAGGGACTTGGATAATTAAGTTATTCACAAAGGTTGGAAGTTTATCTTCTTCGAACCATTTGAACACAAATTTCTCGTCTTGTCCAATCCAACCATACTCTAATGGGTTCAATGACGTAGGTTCGCTTTTTGTGAGCATTTTCCAAATTGTTGAAATATAAATAATGTGTTCCTAGAAGTTGCTGGTAAAGCTCACTCTAACATGGTGGTGTTGAGCTTGCATCAAAATTACGTATTTTTTGCTGAAGTATTAATTGACGTCGGAAGCTTTATAATTGCTGTCGAAAAGTTGGTACCTTATTCTATCACCAACGTCAATTGATTTTTTTTGCATTATAAAGCTGGCAAGTAAATATCTGAATGCTGTGTAACATGGTGGTGTTGAGCTTGCATCAAAATTACGTATTTTTTTGCTGAAGTATTAATTGACGTCGGAAGCTTTATAATTGCTGTCGAAAAGTTGGTACCTTATTCTATCACCAACGTCAATTGATTTTTTTTGCATTATAAAGCTGGCAAGTAAATATCTGAATGCTGTTAAATACCTGTTGTAACTGTCAAATTTTCTTCACCAAGCATCCCAAATACTTGTTGAAATTCAACATCTCTTTTCAGTAACGTAAAAGGTCTTTCCTTCCTGTTATTAAAGAAAGCCGGATTAAAATCACATCCTGTGAACGCATGGAAGTCGATTAAGATTTTGACTAACAATTCACTATGCTCTTCATAAATTTTTGTGACGTCAATATACGTTATTTCCAGTTCCATTGAGCATACAAATATTCGAATGAGAATTTTGTAAATGTGTCAGAATACCAATCATTATAATTAAAGTTCTATTATAGATATAGCTCTATGCATACATCTGACCGGATAGTAGTTCAGATTTTGTTGTCTGCTGAAGTGTGTACTCAATAAAGACATCTGCCGTGATTAACATAAGTTTATGAGACCCTAATAAATAAAATATATCAATGGCAGATCTGGTCAATTACTTTCAATTTTTTTTTTAACAGTTTCAAAACTGTCTGCAGCAATGTGATAATGGCGTTAATGGCGTTAATGGCGTTAATAGCGTTAATAACGCGTGATAATGGTCTGCCATTGTTTTGTTCCGATAATAATAATAATATATTTTCAAACTGCAAAACGGCAGACGTGGTCAAAAATATTTAAAATTTACCAAAAATTGATACCTTTTTTACATTGGCGCCCGCCGCGTCCGCCACGTTGGGCGTAGTGAGTCCCCATGTCATGTACTGTAAGTATAGGGGCCTCACTGTACAAAACCCTAGGTCTGGTCAAATACATACAGGTAGCCTTTCACTGGCTCTTAGACTATTTGTCGTTATTACCACAGCCAATGTCACATAAAGAGAAGTCATGATTATCTATTTGGCCGTAGCTGTCATGGAATTGAGCGATTAAAAAATTATCATAAATCATTTTTTTCAAATGAAAACCCACTTTTTTTATTTTACTAGCGAAAAGGAGTCTTAAGTCTTATATGAAAATGTTATATTTTGTGTGTTTGATATAATGAATTTATTCCACTTTAAAGACTCACACTGTAAACCAACATTAAAGGATTTATATATCGTTCCAAGTTTTAATCACAGCGAAGTCGTCTCAGCTAGTTTTATTATAATTAAAACAATTTTTTATGTATTTTTTTCACGAGGTATTAGCGTTAGTGAAGCAAAATTATTACTTGCCCAACTTATAGAAAAAAATTAAAAAAAGTATTTCCTTTTAAACATGTACTAGTAGATTGTCTTTCAAAATAAATCAATTTGTTGTTGTTTGGACACGAAATATGTCATCGTGGCTTGTAAAACCCATGTACACATGTCTATCATTATGTAAATATCAAAAACAGATGGCATTACATGTCTTGGCACCTTGCGGAAAGTACTAAGCTATTCGGCAGTTGTGCATTGCAATTTTATAAACTACATCGACTTTGTTTTTCTTACTCTCTTAATTATGTATGTTATTCGCGTGCTTTTTTGTTAATAAGCTTTGTATTTTTTGATGCTCTTACAAAGATATTCTATTTTACCTTGTCATTTAGGAGATGGGAGTGCAATGGTTTCGTCATGGAGTCTGTGGTATTCTCTTTAAACATTCCATCAAATTCCTCATCTTTTTTTCGAGTTTTGTACTGAATCCATAGTAACCTTAAAGTTAAAAATTATTAAAGGAAATTATTTATTACGAAATTATTTTTATTATTCTATAATTACAATTTTTTTTTAACTTTGCTGTGTTTGTCTAATTTTTTTAAATTAAAAATTTTATTTTAGAATAATATACTTCCAGTAAAAATCTCTCATAATACAGTATTATTTTTAAAGTTTTCTCAATAAAATCTATGAAATTATTTAAAAAATCTAAATTTAATCTCTATCCTCTAAGAGGCGTTAGCAGTGTTGAGTCAAAAAGTCTCTCATTTTTGTTCCTCCTCAAATCTTTTCATATGTATTTGATATGTTTCTGATTTCTGTGTAAGAGACATTTCAAATTACTATAAAGTCTTTCCAGCGAGTCAAGGAAGATTTCGACAAGTGACATTCAAAAAGTGACAGAAAATACGGTTTACTTGTGAATTAAAATGACAGATTGAAAAGAACTTTCACTCTCATGGATCCTCTTGTTGGATAGACTATACTTTTCAAATTTGTTACCCTATATTGTGGTATGAAATATATCCATGTCCATATTTAATTTAATATAGTATACAGGGTGGTACGAACTGTATTCCGGAAACTTCGGCAGCATATTCTGCAGATAAAAATAAGTAAAAAATTTCGGATATACAGGGTGTAGAAGTTTCATTCTTATTTTGACATATTGACATCAAAATCAAATTTTTGCCATGTGAAAGAACTCATAGACACCAATTTTCATCCAAATATTGACGTTATTCCAGAAATTATTTGGAAAAAATCGAAATAAAAATGAAATTTCTATACCGTGTATCTCTGAAAGTAAGTATTTTAGGACATACATTTATACGAACTTTTTTATTTATTTTTATCTACAGAATATGCTGAAGTTTCGGGAATACAATTCGGACACCCTGTATAATAATAAATATATCAATAAGTGTATATTTATAAAATGTATGTTTTTTATAAAACCAAATTACACTCACCTCGCTCCAAATACTATGATTAGTATGAATACTAGAGGAACAAGCGTTGCTAGACAAGCAAATATCACCGTCTTAATGTCACTCAACACTAAAAATAACACTTTTAATTATTAAGATAAACTTATATTGTTGGCATCTATTTTTGGACATTTTTCTATAACTTTTTTTTTCAGAAATCAAAGCTTCATCAAAGCAATTTACTTAATCCAAAAGTATGTATTTTACTGTGTGGATATATTTTAAATTTATAGGTAAAACTGGAATTGATTTCATTTTGCACACATATTAATTATTTCTTATTTAAATGTACATTTTACAAAAACAATGCAAGTTACTGTCTGAAAAAAAAGAAAAAAGTCTGATTGCCTAAGGTAATTACAAACCATTTCTTTTCCAGTTCTACGGTATGCACAAAATATACACAAAATATAAAATAATATTAAAAAATCTAAAAAGCCAAAAAATATAAAAAGCCACAAATAAATTAAAATAAAACTAACTCACTAAAACATAATTAAAATTCCACAGTAAAGGATATGGTCTCAGAAAAAATAAAGTTCTGTGTCTAATAGAATTTCCTCTACCGACTTTTAAGACAAGTGTTTGCCCTTTAAATACTTAATATGGGTGAGAATATTGTTTTTAATATTTAAATGTTGAATTAAAAGTAATATTCTGTTTTTTGATTGTTCTACTTTTCTGTAAATAAAATTTCTTGTAATTTTATTTTAAAGTTTCCTATTAATTTTTATTTAATTTATTGTATTGTGTGAATATAATATAATAAACTTTTTTTCCATAGCAACTGTTATAATTGCCTTATATTTATCAAAACTAGTAGATAAAATAGTACTTTAACAACCGCAAGGGTAGATTAAATGATACTTTAACAGCGAGGATAGGTTAAAAACTTTATTTCTTCTCGCACGTTTTTTAATTGCTTCCATTTTTGAAAATTTTTGTATTCCTTTTCACAAGTTATTCGGGATTTAAATGGAAGTAGTTTGGATATGGCGTTTGTTGCCTCAGCCTGAATATCTGTTGGCAATTTATTTATTTCGTCTTGAGCCATTTCTGGCTCCAATTCAATCAGCAATCGACAGGCAAGAGAATTAAAAAAGATTGACTCAAAACTGACAATTTTTGTTACTCGTAATAAATTTCTCTTCCTGAATATTTTTTAAAACGTCACTCGCTATGGAAAAAAATTTTGTTTTATACACGACGATAAAATTGCATTATCGTCTCCCGGAATTAATTCACTCGCGATTTCATCGCTCGTGAATTAATCTTTTCGGTCGACGATAAAATACCATTTTATCGTCTTGTATAAAAAATAACTATTACTTATAAGTTTTAGATACAAAACTTCTTTGGAAGAGTTTGAATTGCTTTAAAATACTAAAAAACATAATAAATGTAATTTCTTACTCGAGTCGTCCTCTTCATCGATAAAATACCCTGTTCCATTGTATGAGTCCTCTACAGATTTAACGGTAGAATTATATAAAGGTTGCCCTATACTTCTGACTGTGTCGGATGAATCCATTATCGGTACGGGACTCACCGAGCTAACTGAACCCAAGTAGCTCCAGGGGTTTGTGCGATTGGTTGCAGATTGCAGGACTTGTTCAGTTGTTGTCATTGTTTATTGGCTGGTGTATGGATGGTTCTGATGATTTAGATCAATAAAATACTAAAAACGGTGGATCCTTTAATATCACTGTTTAAAATAAGCAATATTTTTTTATGAAAATAATCATATTGTAATTAATTTATTTAAAACTTTAATTAAGTATTATAATAAAAATATATCCAATATTTTATTAACTTATTAATTACCATACGATCGCAAAGAAGTCACAGTTGGCTTAGAATTAAGGATCGGTGGCGTTTTATATGTAAGTAAATTCTATTTAGAAATTAACTATTTGAATTATTTTTTGTATGCCAATATTTACTAAAATAAAATGCTAGGAATGTTGTTTTCACAATTTGTAGTTATATGAGACGCATTTTCATATGTTTTTATATTTGATGCCCCCAATTAAACTTTTAATTACGTCCTCGAGGGCGCGATTTTTAAATTCATTGTTGCCAACCATGGCAACATATTCGTCGCCGGGCTGACTAACTGGAATTTAAATTCCCCGTTGAATATTCAGGTGGCAGCTCTGCTGTGAAAAATGTCAAGTTGTCATATTTTTTTTATTTATTTCCTGACATTGTCATTCGTTTCCACATTTTAGTTTTGTGTTACGAGTTTTTGGGTTAAATAATGTTTAAATGAATTGTGTTGTGATGTTTTAAGCTTGAAAATGTTTAATAGCAGACCTTGCAGTCGAACATTGTTCTTTTTCGAACCTCTTATAGCGCGAAGTGTACAAGATAGCTTAATAGCCGTAAAAAACGCATCACAACTTTATTAGAATATTTTTAACAGAAAAGCGGTAGTAATGGCCCTTTAAGTGCTGTTAAGTAAGTTAATTTTGTTGATGTAAATAATAACTGTTTATATATTTATAATTAATTTATTTTTGTCTCCAAAAGTATTTTAATGAAAAGAAAATATGTAAAAATAGACAACGCTGTGCCGGTCAAGCTTAATCACGTAACTAAAAGTTTATTTGATATGAACTATAGTTATAATTTATGAGAAAATGTACAAAATTACAAAATTAATTAATTATAATAAATACACAGAAAATTTACGGGAATAATATATGTTTTAATAAATAACTGTCAATTCATCTAACTAAACTAATTATTTTCAAATAGGTACAAGAAAAGGTGAAAAACAAAATTTTATTATGATTTTTTTTGTTTCTGCTTTTATATTTCTTGAGTTTTGTTAAATACAAAATAGAAAGCAATCATAATTAATTTTATGCAATATTTTTTATTAGATATTATTAGATTTTATAGATATTAGATTCTATGTTTATATGCTGTTATTTTAATTATGGTCCAAATTAAAATTGTTAATGGAACCATCTATATCAAATTTTTAATGACGTTTAAATTAAAAAAAAATTACTCAGTAATCAAAACACTTTTTTTCAGTTGGTTAAGACTTCTATATGTTGCCACCAAGTAATATGTAATTGCAGTTTTTAAGATTGTATATTAAAATGCAGTACATATTTTCTTGACAAAATGATGAAGTTTCTATTTTAAAGGAATTTAATAGAGGTGCCTAAGTACGAATAAGATATGTAGATTTTAATATGACTTATCAAAATTTTGTATAAAATAATTACTTAAATGAATTATTAGTTTATTACTAAATGATTTAAAATAGTCATAGAATTTTATAGGTAAGAAGAAAAAAGATAAAAAATATATTACGTCCATTCAAAATACAATAATAAATAATTTACAACCTAACTTTAGAGTATTTAGTATAATATTACAAAAATAGTAAATAATTTTATCGATTTTTAAAGTCATAATATTGTAGATTTAAAAATAAATGTTTATATTTTTAATACTTTATTTAGTGTTATATTAATGTTAAATTAATATTCAAAGTCTATCTAGTAAATACCACAAAATATATTTTATTAACTTCAGAAATATTAATAAAAAAAAGCATTTAGATTTAACTGTTACTTGTTACTTTCAGTAGTAAAAACAATGAACAAAATATATGATCATTAAACATTATAAAAAATATATTTTGTTTCAAAAAGAATATGTTTGAAACAGCTGAAAAAGGGAACAATTATAATAGTTAAGAATTGTTTTGTCCTTCTGTTTGGATGAATTTTGCCGTCCCAAATAATTTTTAATGCACTAAAATGGTTATAATTTCTACATACGTCTTGTTTTGTATATTATATAAAAAAAGTTGATATTTTTAAATAAATCATAGTAAGTTTTTTCATTTTTAGTGATTTGTTTCAGAAAAATATTCAATAAATAGGGCATGAATATAGATTTTCTTGACAAAATGATGAATGAAATTTAAACTTTAAATATTAAAAGAAATTATGAATTAATTCTAAATTATCAAAAATCATGAGCATTTATTTTGTAAGGCGTAATATTTAATTTTTATTTTAGGTTTTACTAGCAGATATTATAACATAATTGTTGTTGTTAATATATACCGGGTGCGTCTCAAAAGTGGCTCACCCCTATAACTTTTTTATTTTTTAGATACAAAAACGAGATTTGCTATGTTAGTATACGACATAAATTAGGATTGATTGACGTATTCAATTGTTTTTGGTCACTTCCTGCTTCACCGGAAATGACTACAACTTTTGATTTTTAAATGGCACCCTCAGTATTTTTTTACTTTATTCGATAGAAAATAACATTCTGAATAGAATAACATATCATATGTCAACTTTTGACAGTCTCGCTTAATAAAAAATCGTATTTTAAAATTCAATCTAGAGTGCTATGGCTATGTTAAAAACAGTAATTCTTGATCAAGGAGCCTTGGAAAAATAGATTTGGTCGTCTAATGTTTTTAGTGTCTTGTCTTGACCAGTTAGAAAATGCACAAATCGTATTTTTAATCATATCTCAATTTTTTCAAATGGAACGAGGGTGGCTTATTAGCATATTTCCAAAAAGCATTTTTTTATGAATAATTTGATACCACACACTTGATATTTCGAGTCAAATTTTCGTTACGAACCGCAAGTTATAATTTCAAATAAACCATATGCGAAATGTCAAAAGTTGACATATGATATGTCATTCTATTCAGAGTGTTATTTTCTATCGAATAAAGTAAAAAAATACCGAGGGTGCCATTTAAAAATCAAAAGTTGTAGTCATTTCCGGTGAAACAGGAAGTGACCGAAAACAATTGAATACGTCAATCAATCCTAATTTATGTCATATACTAACATACAAAATCTCGGTTTTTTAACTAGAAAAATAAAAAAGTTATAGGGGTGAGCCACTTTTGAGACGCATCCGGTATATGAATTAAGAACTATATCAAACTCTCTTTCTGTTTTACTCTACTAACCCAGTCTCAACCCGTTTTTTCCATGATGACCTTGACTCGATAATTATGCCGTTCTCCATTTATGCGTTTCTCCATGACGTGCCCAACAGTGGCACCTTTCACATCCTGACAACAATTAAAAAACACCACACGTTCAAGAAACGAACACGTTAACTTTCCACTGCAACTCATTAACGATTTCACAATTATTTATGGAGAATAATATGCCAGATCTGGATTTTTTCGGCACACCTTGACACATGGATCGGTTGTTAAGCCGGGATGCTGCGCCCAGTGCGACTGCGCCAGCGCTCTCCATTGATTCTGCATGCATGAGATGGCTTTGTTCCTTTCCATGAACAGATGTCGATCATAACAATTCGTTCGCATTTGCTCGTTTTTTTCCGATAGCAGCGTCAATTTTATAGACTAGTAAGGAATAGAACTATTTCAATTTTATAGACTATTAAGGAGAAAAATGAAAAGGGTACAGACACAGGGTTCTAAAAGCATTTGAAAATAAAGCACGTTACTATTTTAATCCATAGTTTTTAATAGAAACTAAATAATTATCTGTTTGATATATTTTATCATTTTGTACATTAATAAACCCAGCAGTGAAGCTTCCATTGATGCGGGTGATGCGTCGCATCCCTTCAAAATATTGTAATACGTTTTTATTTAAGAAAGACACTGTGATCTATACTAATATATAAAATCCTTAAGTGACTGACGTACTGATTAATCACGGTCCTGCTCAAACCACCCAACGTAAGAAGCTCAATTTTTTCATACAGGTTGATTTTAGGGTGGAGAGGTTCGATAAGAAGGGACTTTTCGAAATTCCAGTTCCAAGAGGGTGAAACCACCCCTCAAATATTACAATATTTTTTATTAAAAAAACGGTCAAGTTTCCAAAAAAACGCTTAAACACGTATATTTTATTTTGTTTTTTTACATATTTTAAGATTTTTTAAAAATGCATACAGGGCGTTTCGAAAAATCTAGTCATTGATTAATCACGATCCTGCTTAAAGCGCTTGACGTAAAAAGCTGATTTTTGGAAAACAGATTGACTTTAGGGTGTAGAGGTTTGATAATAAGGGATTTTTCGAAACTCGAATTCTAAGGGGGTGAAACTATCCCTCAAATATTAAAATACTTTTTATTTAAAAACCGGTAAGTTTTTCGGAAAAACTCTTAAACACGTATATTTTATTTGGTTGTTTTACATATTTTAAGATTTTTTATAAATTTGTACAGGGTGTTTCATAAAATATGACCATTGAGTAATCACGATTCTGCTTAAACTGCTTGACGTAAAAAGTTTATTTTTGGCAAACGGATTTTTTGAAAGTCAAATTCCAATGAGATGAAACTACCCCTCAAATATTACCAAATTATATAATCATATCGCCATATTGTTTTTTCTCATGCTCACATAAATGTGAGAAAATTTTATCCAGTTTTTATGTTAATTTAAAATTCTTGCTTTGCTTTATCATTACCATTACAAATTATTAATTCGACGCGAACGAAGTCGCTGGTACACGCTAGTCTCTTATAATAGAGTAATTTCGGATAATATGGAATACAATTTTTATTTTTCTATATAAATTCAATAATATTGGTTTTTTAATCCCAAATTTTGGAAATAAATAGCTAGTAGTATTGTTTAAAAGAATCTCCTATAAGAATTAGATATCTAGAAAGATTTTGAAGTTAGAAAAGAATATAGAGAAATGTGAACTTTTGTGTAGTCAAAAAAAGTGGCAGGTAAAATGGATATGTACAAGGTATATGGGATAGGTACACGGTAAACAAAATTTACTACTACTAGTTTTTTTATGTACAAAAATCACACAAAAATATTTCTGTCTCGGCATTTGTGCAAACTTAGAAGAGAACAAC